GTATCGTCTTTTTTAAAAAACCGTGAACGAGAGCGAGCGAGCGAGCGAGCGAGCAAGCAAAAAGATCCCATTCTCGTTCTTTTCTCTCTTTCTACGATCCAACGAAATTTATTAATACTTTTTAGATCTATAAAATAGAATATTATAAAACTAAGTTAAGTTAATATATTTCAAGTGATTTCGATCGAAATTTCAATCGCGTGCGGATAAACTGTTATACTTATAATAAGCCATATCGACAAAACAATATCCTCTCCCGCGTTTCATTCTCCTAATTTCCTTGAAATATCATTTTTCATTTGAAATATTTGCGTCAAGTTAAAAACATCTTTTCTTATTTTTTTTGTTCGTGAAATTATTTCAAAATCCCCCCCTTGTTATGCCATCGATTGATATACATGCTGTCGTTAGAATTACTCATTTTCCTATTCTCAAGTGTGTGTTTAATAGATTCATTTTATACACCATATCATTTATTTACATGTTTCCATTTGAGTATATTTATTTAAAATATCTCTAATATTTGGATGTATTAGCTATTTAAAGTTTCAAGAGTTTTTTTTTTTTTTATTAATAATTTATTAGATTACTTTGTATTATTCTAATAGAAGAATTTTTGTGAAGTAACTTTTGATACTTAAATGTTTGAAACATTTCTATCAAATATTTATTATGTATAACATTATGTAAAAATATATGTATGTATATATATATCTATGTGTATATGTGACAATAGGATTCAATTATCTTATATTTTATAGAACAAACAAAATGTCAGACAGAAAGGCTGTTATCAAAAATGCAGATATGTCCGAAGAGATGCAGCAAGATGCTGTTGATTGTGCGACTCAAGCTCTGGAAAAGTATAATATAGAAAAGGTAATTATCGATTAAATATCATTTTTTATTTACCATTCATTAACACGTTAACCCTTTGAGTACTTACTACCATGAACATGTCTTTATTTAATAAAAATTATCAGCGTGCATTATGAATGCATGTATGCATATTTGTTGATATACATAAATGCAAATTAATGTTGATTTGTTTATCAATAATTATTTTCAGTCTTGTCATACCAAAATAATGCTTTTTAATATTTTCATATGTTATTTTGGCGAAAATAATGATAATAATTAAATATTAACTACTTTGGCCACACAGAAAAGGTTAGATGCAAAGTTGTTTTTGTTGAGCTTTCTATTTAGGCCTCGGTGATCTTTCAATTGTAGGAAAACCAAAATATCAACTATTGATAACTGACACAGCTTGGATGGAAAGGCCTAAGGGTTGATCTGTAAAGATCAGTATAATATTTAACATGTTAAGAATATTTAGTTTTCTTATTGATCTTAATTAACATGTGATCTTAGTTAACATTTAATGTGTGAAGCACCTACGTATCATATTCCAAGACTTTTCAAATATTTGTTCACACGACTAATATTTCAAAGAAATATATAATATCAATATGAATTAACTGGGAATCTTATTTTGTGTGTTTTGAAAATTTAATTGACATTAAGTGAAATTGTGTTAGAACAATTGGAAAATTTTATTTTTAAATTGAAAAAACTGCATTATACAATCAAACGATTTTTAACTATATAGTATCAAAACATGTAACTAATAACAAACAAAAAAAACATGCATATTCGTTACATAAGCTTCATATTGTATATTGCATGAAATTTTTAAATAAGTATATTTAGAAGTGTGTATATTATCACAGTGTGTTGATATTATTTAATTAATATAAAATCTCAATATATATATATACTATTCATATAATACATTTTTTACAGATTACACATATTTTTAAAGAATACGTTTCAATAAAAACACACACACACGTTATTATTTTATCTTTACCGATTTAAAAATATATTTATTTAAAATAAATTCATATTCTGCGCCGTAAATGTGAAATACGTAATAGATTATATTTCTTTTATAAAATAATTGATAATATAAATGTACAATGAATTTATTTGATATTTTTGGACAGAAAAATACATTTTGCAGATATATATATATTATATGCATAGGAATTCATATGATGCAAATAATAATTGATTTTTGTTTTTGATTGCAGGATATAGCAGCATTTATCAAGAAAGAATTTGATAAAAAATATAATCCAACGTGGCACTGCATCGTAGGACGTAATTTTGGAAGTTACGTAACGCATGAGACAAGACATTTTATATATTTCTACCTGGGTCAGGTAGCCATCCTTCTCTTTAAGAGTGGATAAGCTAATTTCTATTCTCACATCTTTCCTTTCTTCTTTTCTCCTTTTCCTTACTGATGATACTATACAGAACACGAAATTACCGTACCATTTATAAAAACCAACTGCATTATGATGAATACGAGATTTGCTTTAAAAATAGTAAAGCATACTCCTAACGAACAAAGTAAGAAATATCAACATTATCAATTTGACATTGTTAATAGCTAAATATTTGGGAAAAAAAAAATAATAATAGATTGAGAATGTATGTAGAGAAAATCAAAGGGTAGGAAACTATCTGAAAAATTATTGGGGTATTATTAAATATTTTGAAATGTATAGTAAATGCTAAAACTTTGTTGTGTTCTTGTTTTATATTAGGTAAGTACGTGAAGTCGAAGCTAGGAATTCACTTGGAGACACCATGCCGACTATTCTACACGCACACTACACAAACCAACTATACTGTGACGTATATGAAAGAGCGAACGTCACTATGCTTCTGACATGCTTCCACTTGTAAGCAACAAAAAGTTTCAGCTCTGCATGTAATCACTTCTCAATATACGTTTGTGAGTTAGAAAATCACCCTGTTCCCAACGTGCACACACACACACATAAAAATATATATAAGTATTCAACGAAAATGTTAATTTACGTTAAATACTATAATTGACAACATAATAGAGTAATAATATGGGACAAATTGATTTCTATTCATTTAAGTAAAACGTATAAAAGAAAAAAGAATATATATATATATATATAAAAATATATCTAATTATTTAGATATACATATATGGTTGTTATGTATGCGTGGTGTTATATAGTCTTGCGTGAATCTAGTGGATTCCTATCTTTAGGTTCTAATTAAACATTCAAGATCCTGTATAAATATTTACACACAGAATAGACTATTTCTTATTTTGGACGAAGCAAGGAACATATGTATAATTTCTAGTCCCCCATTATAATACAACACAATGGACGAAAGTCAAAATGGAATGTAATTTCCTGCGATTATGAGAAAAATTGATGAAAGTTATCTTACTAAAAAAAAAAAAAAAATGTTAATGCATCAAATGATTAAACTACTTTTTTTTTTGTTTTTTTCATTGTAACATTTCGTTTAGGTTAAGTTAATTATACAAGATTATTTGTACCAAGAAGAAGAGGAAGATTAAAAAAAAAAAAAAAATCAACTTGTTATCAAATTTTGGTAACTTTTACCAATATGTTAGAGAATATGCAACACTACATTAATGATATATTTGAATCGTTCGTTTCCTACCTTCACACAATATTTTATATTTTACATCTAACGTCGCTAAAACAAAAATTTTAATCTCATGCCACTTACTCTTAGAAAAAAAATGCTCGAAATCGTATCTCTTATTCTGCCGATTTTAGTTTGTATGTAACATTTAATACTTCGTATTATGGTACTTATACATGATAAATAAATAACTATACATACTATTTATACACTGTGCAATCTTGAAGCAATTTTTCATACAGTATTGATTATTATTATTACTATTACTATTATTATTACTATTACTATTATTATTATTATTATTATTATTATTATTATTATTATTATTATTATTATTATTATTATTATTATTATTATTATTACTATTATTATTATAATNTATTATTATTATTATTATTATTATTATTATTATTATTATTATTATTATTATTATTATTATTATTATTATTATTACTATTATTATTATAATGTTGCTATATTGTTTAATTTAGATCATACATTAAACTAAGATGCAGAGAATTATTTTGGGATGATTTTCTTTGCAAGATTTTAATATTATTCATATGATGTGATTTGTATTTTAAATCATTTAATCGTATATAGTTTCTTTTTTTTTTTTTATCTGAAACTTAATATTAAAAATTACGAATATATATACATATATATATATATAAAGTATTATTATGGTAATGTATTCGTTGTTCATACATTTTATGTTATAATTTGATAGCATATAAAACAAATATTTTATCTACTTCAAACTATAGGTATATATATATATTTACAAAATACACCAATCGATGCTAATTAAAATATGTTATTTTTAATCAAAACAATTAATAGATAAAATCATATTCAATAATAACGATGAAGAACAAGCTCTCTTATCTCTTATCTGGTACTTTTGTCGGAAATAAATATTTCTAAAACGTTAAATAAAATATATAAACAATAGATAGATATGTTGAGTAAAGTGTGTTCTTATATAAATATGTTGAAAGTGAAAAAAAAAAAGAAAAAAGTAACGTAAAAGAAAAGATAATCACAAACTTTACTTTTAGTCCCATATAATAAACAATAATTAATTATATAACGTGGAGGGATTTAATTAATTTTAATAGATACAAATGAATAGTTGCATTTTATGGGAATAAAATGGAAAATGCATTTCTTAATATATTCTATATCATACAAAAAAAAATAATAATAATAATAGAACATATTAATGGATCAAAAATGATAATCCATTATTACTAAAACGAAAATAAAGAAGTTTATAATTCAAAATGCTACACGACACAATTTTGTTTTTCCTTTGAACACGTATATACATTTTAAACAAAACAAATATATATATATATATATACAAAAGAATCATTTATTATTAAAAAACAAAACCCTTGTAAAAATGAGTAATTATATTTACTTAATTATTTGCAACGAGACAATGAATTTATGAAAAGGGAAAGAATATGTGATGCAAGTTATATTATATGAATCTTTTATATTAAAATCTCACATTACATTAGATCACAATTAGATTTTCCAATCTTTGCTAGATAAATGACACAATGTAGTGTTGTAAGAAAATAGTAATATATACTTATGTTTTTATAGACATAACAGCTTTTCTTGCTGCTTCATCTAAGTCATTAGCAGTAATTATTGGCAAACCAGAATCTTTAAGAATCTTTTTTGCTTCATTTACATTAGTACCTGCAAAAAAAAAAAAAAGAAGAAAAAAGAAAAAATGTAAAAGAAACAAAATAATACCGTATATACATATAATTACTTGTATATGTCACAAGTAAACAAAATAATTCTTGCAACTAAAATTATTAACAATGTCATAGACTTAATGCAACAATGATCAAGTCAAAACCAACTCTTATTTTTCATTTCTCTAATCAACTTGACTTGAAAAAAAAAAAAAAAACACTTTTATTTTAAAACAAGAAACCGTTCTATCATAAATATATTAATTATTGAATTATAACAATCGTTGGTTCTTTGATTTGGTCATTTTTTATTATACTAAATATTATTCTTGTTGTTTTTTTTCTATTATTGAAAAATAATTACCTTCTAATCTAACGACAAGAGGTATCTTAAGACCTAAATTTTGTGCAGCAGCTATAATTCCATTTGCTATCGTAGTACAATTAACAATTCCACCAAATACATTTACTAGAATGGCTTTTACTTTTGGATCTAAAGAATAAATTATATATATATATCGTTAATATACTTAACACAGTATTAAAAATAGTAAGAATCTTATAAGACATATACATACCTTCGCTTAGAATACGAAACGCTTGATAAACTTGATTCTCTTTTACATTTCCGCCTACATCCAAAAAATTAGCAGGTGTTCCTCCATTTAATTGGATAATATCCATTGTTGCCATAGCTAAGCCAGCTCCATTAACTTAAAATGAAAATAATAAAAATTATCCTGTTATACCTGATCGATATATATATATATATATATATATATATATATATATATATATATACACATTATAAAAATATGCATAATAATACTGTATATAATACCGACCTAAACATCCAATATTCCCATCCATTCCAATATAATTTAAATTAAAATGTAACGCATCCACTTCTCTTGGATCCTTTTCATTTGTATCTTCTAAAGCAAAAAGGTCCTGCTGTCTGAATTGCGCATTATCATCAAATGAAATTTTCGCGTCTACCGCGACAACTTGTTTATCTTTGGTCAATACCAATGGATTAATTTCAACTTGTAATGCATCAATGTCAACAAATAATTTCCATAAACTCTTAAGCTCATATATTGCTTTTTTATGTATCTCTGGATCACTAAATCCTAAGAAATTACTGACATCTTCGGCAATGGTATCATTAATTCCATTATATATATCCAATGGTATAGTTTTTATCAATTCTGGTTGTTCTTTAGCAACCGTTTCAATATCCATACCACCCACTGGAGAAGCAATTAATACTGGTCCGTTATGTTGTCGATCCATCAGAATGCAAACATATTTTTCGGAAACAATGTCAACCGATTCAGCTATCATTACTTTTTGTACCAAAATGCCATCTTTTGAAGTTTGTTTAGTTATCAGTCGATGACCTAACATGTTCTTTGCAACATCTACTACTGCTTTGGGACTATTGAAAAAAAATATTTCAGAAATAATATAAAAAAAAAAAATTATACAAAAGCGACTATTATTGTTCTATATAATAATAATAATAATAATGATTTCTCCAAATATTTGATTTATATCAAAATTATACAATTATATTATCATTATATTTGTAATCATAATTTAAGCTATGATCACATTCTTTCAAAAGTATAATACAAATAAGAAGAATATAATATCATAATATTTATTATAGATTTTACTGATTATAAAACAAAATGAAATGGTAAAACAAATTTGCAATTGGATTTATGAAAAATTTCGAACTTAATCTTCAAAAGCAATAAATCAAGATTTTTCGATTTTTATTTTAATAATCCTTTGTAAATAGTAAAGTTTATTGTTATAATTTTCTTTTTTTTTTTTAAATATACATTTGTATGTTGCATTTAATATACAACATTAAATCTTCCTTTGTTACTTAATGTTTAAACAACAAAAAATGAAAGTTTTATTCATTACTATTAAAGTTGAATTAATTCTCTCTGTGTTATTAAATATCAAAAAACTAATTTAAATTAGCCGCCATAGTGGATTTAGTAAAGATTTAATTTAAACAAGAACAATGTTATCTTATATTAGTAATAATACCATAATATCCCCCCCCCCCCCCATATAAAATACCTTTTAACACGACTATTTGAACTTACTCCTTTGTAAGATGTACACCACCTTTAAAACCATTGTCGAACCATCCTTTACCACGTCCTCCTGCCAATACCTGAGCTTTAATAACATATTCATCTGCACCTGAAAGATCAAGAAAATATATCAAGAGTTCATTAAATCCATAATTGTTATCATCACAACACTTTTATTATTATTATTATTATTATACTAACATAAATTTTCCAGTGCAGAATTAGCTTTATTTAAGTCATCAATGATGGTAAAATTTTGTACAGAAACACCACAGTCCCTTAACAATTCTTTGCTTTGATATTCCAATAAATTAAGTTTTCTAGATTGTATCACTTTGCATAAACGATTTTTAGTGAAAATTTGAGAATATTGTAAAGATTTTGAACAAAGTATTCGCAACATTCTTCTTCTTAACCTCAAAATCTTCTTCACTTGATAATAAATAAGAATAAAAATATCACTTCTGCTCCAATTGAAAAGCGTAAACTCATGCAAATAAGATTAAGGAAAAGAACTGTAGAAAAAAACATTTTTCGGCAACAAGAGTGGATAACGATTTATCAACGATGATTGGATGACGTTTATATACAAGTTATTAACTTATTTATTAGGTTATGATTTGTATTAAAATTAACTATGTTTGTTTTAAATATATATATATATTATAAAGAGAAATTTCAATAAATAATTTTATATAGTTATGTAAAAAATTATGATATACTTTATCTAACTTATAAGCAACATAAATATAACATGACAGAAATTGTAAATAGCAAAAATTGTCTGCATTTATTATGATAAAATAACATAATATATTATTGCTTTTTATTCTTTTTCCTACAATTTTTCATTGTTTCAATGATATTTTAATAATTTCATTTGATATTCAATTTCTTATTGAAACTAACATAGTTTAACCTTTCTGCTTCGTAAAAAGTATATATGAGCTAATATTATAAATACATTATATTACATTTTTATAAACATTGAAATAAAGCGACATTTTTAAAAAGAAACAAATATATAAATAAATATTGTTGCGCTATTATAAAAAATAAAATTTAATTACTACTGTTTAGTAACACATTGCGTCCATAGCAACTTATGTCATGACCATAAGTATGCCATAGTTAAAGGATTAAATAAATAATTAATTAAGCGTTAGTATATAATCACATTTAGTCAATTTAATATTGTTTAATTATATCTACCCTGACCAGTTAACATCAAATTCCATATTTCTTAATAATATTATAGATTTCTTAAATATTTACAAGCTTTAGTAGTTTTTGCAAATATATATATTTCTTTTTTAATATTAATAATTAGCTGTATAAATTAATATTTTCTATACTTTAATTGTACTTCAGTTTTGAGGTAGTATCGGTTATTTCGTTATGTACATAATATTGTCACTTATTAGGAATATCTTGACAATTCTCACAGAGTATACATACGTACATGATGCGAGATTACTCGCATCATAAGCTGTAAAATAAAAATATTTTTTATTTAATTTTAATATAATATTTATATCATAATATATTTTAAATAACTTTTATAATGTCATAAAACAAATACCGTTAATCTGTAGAAAATGATAAAACTTTATGTGATCTCGTTTACATCGATGATTCTTCACGCATATTTTTTACTCTTTCTTGTTAAATACCACATCACATTACAAATCATTAATAGGAACTTATTAATTTTTTTATTTCTTATGTATGTCCTTTTACTTTCCTCTTAATATTTTTGTTACAGCACGCGTCAATGGAAAGGTTTCATTTGCATTACATTTATTTTTCCAATCGTCGACGTTAAGTGAAAATACCATGGCACCTTTAAAATCGTTGTCAAGTATCCACTTAGTCTAAAAAAAAAATAAAATAAAATTATTATAACATATATATATATATATATTTATATGCCGGTCACACGAATGTGTTAAATAATATAATATATGTTTATACCTTGTAATAAATACTTTGATTATCATCGTACGATATCCATTCATAATCTTTGTAAGCATATGGTACTTTGCTCGTATTTTCAAACACGCTAATTGCTCCGCTATCCAGAAATTGACAAATAGTTGAATATGATACAAAACCATTAGAACCTAATTGTCCAAATCCTGTAGCTGGTGCTAATAAATTGTGATTCAAAGGATTATCTAATTTATACGAATGTCCATACATTGGTATACCGACGACGATTTTATCTCTTGGCATTTTTTTCGTTATCCAATAATGTGCAGAGAAGTTTACATTAAGTTTAGATAAATATCCCAATTCCATATTGTTCGGATACAATGGAGCATTGAAATCAGTTACAGGAAAATACTTCACAAAAAAATGATAGTCGTACGACATAAGATTTATAAAATCAACGTGCCTGTAAAAAAATCAGTATTTTAATACACCAATATATGAAATTGATTCTTTTACGTGTTAACATTATATATATACATGTCTCTCTGCAGATATATTATTACTAACATTTATATTGTTGTTATTATCTATAATGATTATGCTTACTCCGCCATATTAGGAACAATATAGCACTGATCTATGATTGCTTGTGGAGCTCCCACTGCTACAGATAAAATTAATTTTCTATTACTCCGATCAAATTCCTTTCTTAATTCTTCAATTAACTGTGCAAAATGTATTTTTTCTATTTCTTTTCCAGACGACCACGTTGGAAATTCCCAATCGAGATCTAATCCATCGAGATTTAATTTCATTGTTACATTTAACACAGATCTTATAAATCTGAAAGAAAAGAAAAAAAAAAAAGCAAAAATACAAATATTGAATTGAAATCATTGAAATTAGCTATTTGACAAAATTTTTCTAAATAATTATAATATTATTACTGTTTTCGATTTGTATGGTTTTTAATCATATTTGAAAACTCAGAATTCATTCCATCATCATTACCACCTCCTATACTAATCATAACTTTTAAGTTTGGATTAAAGTTCTTGATATTTACAACTTCTTTATAAGCCCACTCATCATCACCCATATCAACACTACAATTTGCGATACTTGCAAATCCAATTATAATATGAGTACAAATATGTGGATCTATTTGCTTGGGAAGAAGACTCCATGTTGTACTCCAGTTGTTAGGTACTGTGTAATAGCATACAACAAATTTTCTGCAATTTATTGACAACATTATTTTACTGCTATAATGAATAATATCTAATTAAAATGGTAAAACAAAATAAAATAAAATTTAAAATAAAACTATAAATAGAAGAAAGAAGAAAAGAAAATAATTAAGGCCTTTACTCTGTGGAATTATTAGATTGTTGTTTGTAATCAATATTTATATTTATATCTGTGTCCATATTTTGATGCATTGTCCATGACAGTAATTTTTCCAATAAGTTTATTCGATTGAAGTTTATAAGTTGTTGTTCATCTGTTTCTATCCTCGAATATATATTCATACCCACAAAAGATAAAGTGGATAATATAAATAATATAAAAGCAAATATTTCCAGTTTTGTCCTATTGAAAACAGATATCAATGTACGGCTTGAAAAATCTTCCAAACATCATTATAAACGAAATCAAAGTGATATCAATGATCTTAGTTTTTTACTTCTTTATCTATCAATGAGAAAAATATCATTTTATATAGAAATGAGTTTCAGTATAATATAGAAAACGGTACACATTAGCAGTGGAAACTTGTCAAATAAAAATTTAAACAATTATTATTGCAATTGAATTTAAATACAATCACCACGTTGAAATATTAATAAATGTGTTTACAGTGTATTAATATGGTTTATCAAATGGATCAATTGACATAAAATAATCTCAAAATATAAATAATAAAACTTCTATATATTTGACATTACAAATTGATGTAATATATACGTTTAACTTACATATTATAATAATATACATGTTGTCGTAGAGGTTCATAAGAATCTGTAATTATTGAATAATATAGATATTTTAAAAAACAGTTTAACACATTACTTTGACATTCTTGATTTTTGTCAAGTCATTGTCATTTTACCTTGTATTTTTGTATCAAGATTTTTTATGACATAGGCAGAAGACATCTTTGGTTTATTCTTAATACACAAAATATTTTTATAATATGTTTTATATTTATTTTATATATTAAATATAAGAATCACATAGTCCTTTGACAGTAGAACGACGAAGGTAGAAACAAAGCAGGTTGAACGATATAAGCAATTTGTAACATTCGGCGCTCATGCGACTACAGCGCACTCTGGACTAAAACTTTATTTCTTCCACATTTGGCGGATACCTTTTTTATACAGCGTTCTTCGTTCTTCCTGTATTTTTACCTCCGTTGTTAAATACTTTAATTTGTGTGTGTGTGTGTGTAGAAGAATAGCTGTATTTCATCTTTTTGTTATTAATAATAATAACCTATGAAAGATAAAACTAAAGAATCAGCCCCAGGTGATGGCATACGCTCATTAAGAAGCACGGCGTTATTTCGTGCTGTTAATTATGAGTTGTATGTCAAGCCGGTAAAATCAATAATTTATTTATATAAGGTTTATTAAAATTAATGTTGTTTTTGTTTAATACGTTTGTAGCTGACATTTTCCATGACAATCGTAATGATAAAACCTATAAAACAACATTATTTACTACATAACCTATGTATTTATGTTAACAATTAAAATTATAATTAAAATGAATGAAAAATTAATTACATATTTTTAATAATATTTTATATTTGTGTTTCAGAATAGGGGCATAATGCTTTTTGGGGTTATGGCAATGCTTACTTGTTCAGGGTATTTATTTTACATGAGATATAAACATGATGGCACTGATTATTATGAATCCGTGCAAGCAGATGGAAATATTACTTTGAAAAATAAAACTTCCAAATGGCTAGATTAAATTTATCAAAGTGTTCACAAAAGACATATACATCGATTTAATAAGAATGATTTGAGAGAAATCAGAGTTGTATTGTAATTTAAAAAAAATTTAACTTATGATTTTCGATGATCGAGATATTAATAACGAGAAATTCATAAATAAGAGTAAATATAAAAAGAAAAGTAATTTATTGTCATTTCGAGCCTTTAAGTATAATATCGTTATTTACATTAACACTCGTTTCATGTTTTTTTTTGTGTATACCTCCTGTAAAAATGTTGCACTTTATAATTATATCTAATTAAGAATAGATATGTATATATATATATATATTTAAATGAAACAGAAAAAAAATATATTATTTATTTCTGTAAAATATTACATAAATTAGTCGTTCAAAGTCTACAGCATAATTATTTTTAAAACATCAAGACGGTGGAAGACATTAAGCAATGCATCTTTTGTGAACAACCTATGTAATAACACTTTTATAGTTTGTATAGTTGATTACATTATTTACCACATATTAATTATCGATTAACAATTAATACATTTAATTGTATGATTTATAAATTTATAAATCATATGAGGAAGATATGTATATTTGTCTGTATATTTTTGTTTTTTTTTATAAATATCATCAAATATCATCTTTTTCAATGAATACAATATAGTTACAAATATTAGATAATATATTGCGTGTGTTCTCTCTTTGATTCATATCATATTATTCATAGTACATAAATGCACAGATTATTCTAAATGCTTATGATCAATATTTTATGCCTACGCGATTATTTTTTTAATTTGTTTACACTGATTTTAAAAATATACACTTTATCTTGTCATATCGTTTGGTATAATACAAATATGTAAAAAAGTATTTTCCCCATTTTTCATAAGATTTTTGTTAGCCTATCTCATTGGCAGTTGTATTATTACATCTGGAAGGAAATTTGATAATATTTATTCTCTCTTTCAATATTAAGATATACTCTTTAAGTATATAAACTTTAACAGCAGTGCTAAAAAAATATATGTTAATTACTCGTCATATGTTTTTGTTATGATTAATGTGGAGAAACCTACATTCTATAGAATACCCAGAGAAGGTTTCGGTCAATTTATAAAATGTGTTTTAATTGGTTGTGTTTAGATAATAGCTTGAGATTCCCCCTTCTGGACATAGAATGGCTGGATAATCTATAGAATTAGCGAGCAATGTGCACAATGTGCAGATGTTTCACAGATTACTTGATTTACGAAGGGGACATTCTGTAGAATCACTATTACCCCGACATTAATCGTAACATATGTAACAATCATATATCTTTTGTTTGCAAATATTACATTAACAATATATTTATAATCTATCAACGTGGACATTTTTCTTGTTTGATCTATTTTAATAAGAACTTTTAGTTTAATATATACATAAATATGGAATCTTTGCTTTTGAAATGCCTAGAAAAAATAGAGAAAAAATTGATCTCCATTCATATATATACATATATATATGACAAGATTTGTTACTTTCTTTAATTCATTTTTTTTTTTTCTTAGAACACATTTAATGTACATTTTCAGTACCAGAAAACAGAATTTTGGCACGATTTACGTTTTTCGTTTTATGTATCATTATATGCATATGAAAAACTAATTTGATTAACAAAATTATTTTTCTTTTTCTTTTTAAATCTTTAGTTTCGTATTAAAGTGATGCTATAATAAAACTTGAACATCATTAATATGAAAGAAGTTCAATATTTAATTATGCATTAACTTTGTACTGTTCTTTAGTTGGACCACCACCACAATGTTCGCTATATATTATAATTATTACATTTCATTAAATATAGACCTTATGTTCATACATCAGCCTTTTTTTTTTTTTGCCACGCAGAGCAATTTGTTCCTTTTTTTTCTTTTTATCTGTTAATTATATTATTAATTTACAAATACTATTTTATTTATGAGCATATCAAACCTAATTGCATCGATGGGTTTATACTTTGTCATTGACAATCATTTTTGTACTTTTCAACATAAAATAACGATGCATGTAAATTTTATGCTTTAGAAGTGAGATGAGAACATAAGATCTTATTCGTAAAATTTGTAAACTAAACAATAGCAGTAAATAATGCAAAACTTATTACTGAAATGACTACTTGACTTCATAAGTATAATAACGTATTATAATATTTCAATATAGTTGTCACTATCAGTGACTAATAAATGATTTTTGTATTTATTATACTATGATGTCAAGTCTGAAAAAAAAACGTATTATCAACAGCTGCAATCTTTTTCTCCTTGAGGAAATAATGTTACTGCTTCGTGAATAGCTTTTGCTACGTAATCCAAATTATGTTCGGTCAGTCCACAAATATTTATGCGTCCGCTGCGTAATAGATAGATATGAAAGTGATCCAATAAATGCTTCACTTGTCTTTCTGCAAATTCAAATGATATATATTTTTCAAATATGTCTTTTTAAATTGATTATTTATTTATATTATGTAGGGGTATTTCAAACATACCACTGAGGCCTGTATACGAAAACATTCCTATTTGGGTTGTTATGTGTTCCCACGTGCCTGGCGTTCCTAACTTGAGTAATCTTTGATATAATCCTTCTCGCATATCTCTTATCCTCCCCGACATAGTTTGAATATGCCCTTTCCTATGTTATTAATGAGCAATATATTAAAATGAACTTCTATTATTATAACAATATATTCTTTAACCATTTGAGTCACAAGCAACGTGATTGCACTGTTTAGATTTCATGTCGAAAAATACCATGTTATTGAAATGTAATGTACAATTGATATATCACTTGGTATTTGTCGACACAATTTTTTTTTTAAAACGCCAATGGAACTCAAATCGATAAAACATACCATTCTTTGCAAAGATCAGGATTATTAAGCACAGTTGATACTATGCGTACTCCATGATTTGGCGGATTACTATACATTCCTCGTATAATTAACGTCACTTGAGATTTAAATTGAACGACTTCTTTCACATCCGACATTACCACAACCATGTTACCGGCTCTCTCATTATAAATACCAAAATTTTTGGCAAAACTTTGAGTACAAATAAATTCCATCCCGCGTTCAGCAAACATACGTACGGCGAATGCATCTTTATCTAAATCACCGCTTGCAAATCCCTAAAAATAAAATTTAATTATAACATGATTGATAATATTGTATAATAAACATTTGTGATATTCAATCGAGTAATGTATAAATAAGTACTTGATATGCACTGTCGAATATTGTGAATAATCGATTTTCTTCGATAACATCAGCTATTTGTTTCCATTGTTCTGGTGTTGGATCACAACCCGTAGGATTGTGTGCACAAGCATGTAGAATAATGACTGCATTTTCTGGAGCATTTTTTAAATCTCTGAGCATTCCATCTATGTCAATTTTGCGATTTTTAGAATCCCAATATGCATATTCGCAAGCGTTCTTAAAGCCACCGTTCAAGAAAACAAGTTTATGATTTTCTATAAAGTAACATCGTTTGGTAAGATAAATGTTACACACACATACATTATTGTTTTGATTAAATTCAATTAAACTATGACTATCTTACCCCAGGTAGGTTTGCTATAATAAAATGTGTCATAATGTAGGATACGACTTAAACATTCTGCAGCAACTCTTAATGCACCTGTACCAGAAAGCGTTTGAATACCAAAAGCACGTCCTTGAGCAATGACAGGAGAGTTAGGACCTAATAACATTTTGGTAGCAGCTTGGCAAAAGGAATCCAAGCCCAGTATTGGAAGATATTCATGATTTTGTAATTCATCAGCTGCCAATTGTTTTTCCACTTTTTTTACAACCGGTAATACCCATGGTTTACCTTCAGATGTACGATAAGCTAAAAATAAAATCAATACACTTGATTGGTTTCTATCTTTAAAATAATATAAATATTCATGTACTTACATCACATATATTAATCATTCAAATATTTTTCTAATATAAAAGAGCATAGCTTATATAATTGATGTATTGACAAAGGTCATTCAAGAGCAAAGTCGTCAAGATAAAAGAGATAATAATTATCACGCAAAGATAACTTTGATTATATATATTATTTAAAAAATTTAATCCCTATAGATAGATACATTGCAATTAAAAATAATAATTAAGATAAAAAAATGTAAATTACTTGTTGTATTTCTTTTTAATTTTATTCTTACAATTATGATTAAATGTGATCGTACTTATGATATTGTACAATATTATTTAATCGTATGTGCATGTTGATTAGATTTTTTTACGTACCTCCTACAGCTAAATTAACTTTTTTCTCGTAAGTATCATCGTTGTAAGCTTTGGTTAGAGCGAAAACCTCGATGGGAGGTCCCAATTCGATACCCGAGAATCTCGTGCTCATCTCAGCTGGCTGGTTCAAGCTCAACTGAGCTTCAACGATTACGAAAAATGGAAGATAAAATCAACAAGAACTCTGGAAGTTAGTTGAGATATGATATTTTAGTTTTTTACGACAATGTTATCGTATACATATGTTTTAATTAATATTATAACGTAAATTTCTCGTTTCAAAACATTTCTATTAGCATGATCAAATTAATTAATTAGTCAAAAGTCAAGTTTATTATAAAATGTGCGTACGAAACCAATGAGAGACGATTATTAATAAAGCATTTTCATTACGCAATCTTCCAATAATATAAATAATATCGATGTGATACGTTACGTTATAACTTTGATCTGTAATAAATAATCTCTTTCGAATAATATCCTTTTCGTTTTATTACGCGATAAAAAAAACTAATTTAAATAAAAACTTTGAAACTTTTCCAAATTTTTATAAAGAAAATAATTCCTAACGTTCTCTAAATTACATATTTTTCTTCGACAAATTTATTTTTGAAAATATTTAATCTTACATAATTAAGTCGATAATTATTATTACGATTAATGTACACTTATATAATATGCCTAAATATTCTATAATCTATAATAGCAAAAGAAAGAACAATACATCAATTCTTGACTCCAATTAACAAATTTGTCATTAACGATCGATACCAATGAAATCTATATTATCAACGTGAACGATATGTTCGAGTAGTTACGAGTTCTTATCGAGCACCGGTAGAGGCAGCACGATCGACTCGGTTCGGAACTATAACGCGGTCGACTAGCGCGCAGAGTGAAAATGGCGCCGTTCGAGTGAGGGTGGGTGAGATTCTGTGCGCGCGTGTGCCCGGAGAGAGTGCGAGCCTACGGAAATGTGGCAGGATCTGGATGGTCTGGCCGGTGCTGGAGTTCATTGCAGTAGTCATCAGGGTGATCAGTTTGGCACGGCAGGTAAGATAATTGTTGATTATTATGATGAAGAATAAACAATTATGGACCACTACGCACGACACGACACGATACAATATAATACGATATAATACGATACGATATGATACGATATGATACGATACGATACTATTCGATTCGATATATAAATGAATCTCGGATCCTGTCAAGATATGGAAAAAAGGCTTATCCCGTGGGAAAGCGCAAGCGCCATGCGCTTACTTTTCCTCTCCTTTTAACTCGTAAACAAAACCTAAAGGGAAGTCATCGTCTGTCGTTCCTTCTATCTTTCTCTTTTACTCTTTTGCTCTTTTACTCTTTTAATCTTGTCCTCTCCGTCTCGCTGTATCCCTGTCGTCTTTGGCTCGATGCACGGAGTATATACGTGTCTCTCAGATTTCCCAGGAAGAATAGGAAATATTTTTCTCACAATTCTCTCTCTCTCTCTTTATTTGTTTTTATTTTTATGTCAAAAGCCTTTCTATTTATAAATATATGACAAAAAGAACAAAAGTGTAAGTTAACATCAAGAGACTTAACAAAAAAGAAAAGAGGGAACAAGTGTAAAATCCAAGTAAACTTTTTTTCCCGAAAGAATGATCGATATCTTTCGATTATTTTGATATGACAGTTAGAAATAAAGAAAGAAAGAAAGACAGGGTGAAAGAGAGAGAGAGAGAAAGAGAGAGAAAGAGAAAGAGAGACAGAGCATATGAATCGATGATGCAGATTACGCATAGGAAATGAATATGTAATAGGTGGTATAATTTAGGTGTTAGGATTTAAAAGTCGGTCTAGTAGGTGACTAACGGTGAATCTCGTCTCTCGATGGCTTTGTTGTTTCCGTGTTGTCTTTTTTAGTTACGTATTGAAAAAGAGACAAACGTGACGACTATGTCGTCGTTGACGTCGATGTCCTCTCGGTGATTCGGAGCTCGTCGTTACTCTTTAGAGTTTGTTTGTTTCTTTCTTTCTTTCTTTATTTATTTCTTTCTTTCTCTTTCTTTCTTTCCGAAGACGCGCTGTGCAGCCAACGTACGGAATGCTACGTATATCATATGTGCGTGTACTATGTTTTGTGATTGTGTATATATATATATATATATATATATATATATATATGTGTGTGTGTACAAAACTCGATATAGTCGTCGTGACAGTCGTGCAAAAACGCTTCTAGGAACGCGTCTCTGATCGAAACTAATCTTCATTGACTTGTTTTCTGTTTACTCCTTTATTTACTTTTACCAATCAATCTATCCTTGTTCGTAGTCTATAAATGTTAATGGCGATTGTAAGAATTGCCTAACTGATATATTAAAAGTTTGAAAATAGGAAGGAAATAATGCAATAGACTTTATTTAAAATACCATTACAGTTTATTCGTTACGTGTTGTTGTGTTGTGTTGTGGTGTGGTGTGTTATGTTATGTTCGAGAAGGGAGAGTAGGTTAATCAGATGTTTCAGGAAGTTTTTAATGTCTGCTGCTGCTAGTGAAAGAAATATTCATGAACCTGTGCTCACTGACCACAATATTATTGTACATTCTAGGTATATATATTTATGATTATTCTTTTCTATAAAGTAATAAAATCTAACTGCTTTTATTTTTAAAATGATCACTTTTATTTGATTTTTCGATTCTTACTTTTCGTTATTGTGTTTTGTGATTATTATTATTATTATTCATTTTTATATTATATTATAATATAAAAAAATAACAAAAAAAAAAAACGTTTAAACAATAAATGAATTTATAGATATTTTTAAATAGCAAAACGTTTAAAATTATTTACATAAATCAAATGTTACATGAAGTAGAAATTAGGAATGATTAAAATGGCGGTTGTCTCTGATATACCTAGTGTTTAATTGTTCACTCACCACCAATCGGAGATAGAATATTTTTATTAGAACACACACACACACACACATATTTAAAATACACACATGAGCTAGAAAACATTTTAATTGATATAAGAAAAATGTGAAATGTTAAATAAAATCAATGAAATAATAATAAGATCAAATGGTATTTATCTCCTTGGTTTTATTTTGATAGAACGGTGTTTTTTTGTATTTTTATTTGTACTGTTTTTCTTTTTCTTCTTCTTCTTCTTCTTCATTTCGATAACATCGACCTTATCGTACGCACATGCATTTCTCCTTTATCTCTTCTTTTTCTCGATTAACTAAGTCTCTCTCTCTCTCTCTCTTAAAAGTCAAATACAACTCATCGTCTTAATCAGTCGTTTGCTATGCGAAGTGGTTTTGATTCTTATCGTAGCTTTGACGGTTAAAAAAAAAAAGCTATTGAGAAAGCACGTACACAACGTATACTACGTATATAACGTGTACAACCTGCATACGTGTATACATACGTGTATACGTGTATACGTACGTGTGTTGTACACACGTCTCCCTTCTTACTATACAATAGTAATCGACGCGTATGATAATAATACGCTGAATGGACGCACGCTTTGAATTTTGCACGTGCGCGGCATAAGATTAGACCGACAAGATCGATCCGTCCTTTTTCCTTACACTACCACACACACACACCATTGTCCTTTGAAACTTAACAAAATTTAAATGAAAAAAAAAAAGAAAGAAAGAAAAAAAATCCCAAATTTAACAAACACAAAGTTTAGATATACTCTTTGAACCGCTTTGAATTCAACATTTTTTTTTTTTTTTTCAAATTAACGCAGTAAATCAACGGTTTTTAGGTTTTTATTTTGCCACTGTTATAATCACCAACACATAGAATTAGATCAATTTTCTCGATCTTTTTCTTGAATGAAATTAATCAATTAGACGATAGGAACGATTCATACAAGTTCATACTTCAATTTTTGTATTAATTGCTGAATTTGAATTTGATGAAATGAATTAGTAAGATTAATGGAGATCGGTTTGTATCGAGCATCGACCTCATTAAAACGGTAAGGAATAGTAACGCGAAGCAACAGTTTCTAATTGTTCCGCAGCAGTGACGGTTTGTAATTTAGCTAACCTGACCTCAACTTTCCGTTCGTTCTTGTGTCGAATGAGGAGAAGAGAGGAGAAGAAAAGAGAGAGAGAGAGAGAGAGAGGTGAGTGTACCCGTTCGAATTACATAATCTCTTGAGCTCGTGGCTTTGAGACGTGGGGATTCATACGGTACCATCACCACCATAAAAGAAGCAGGTGTTTTGTTAGAATGAACGTTTCCTGTGGGGTGAACTTACTTTATACCTTTACATACACACACACAAACTTCATTCTTTCTCAAGTGCTTCTCGGCCGAGTGCACAAATGCACACACACACACACACTCAGACACATATGACGTATCCATGTATAAACATAGAAAATAAAGTATAGTTTTTGTAACGTTATTATTTGATGGTCATATCATAACAATAGTATTGGGATAACACTCTAGTAGGGATCCTGTAGGAGGGATGCGCCATTCATATTCAGCTCATGTGCCATTGGCTGAAAATTTTGGGGAACCGCTTGAATTTATAATAATTTTTTTTTCGTGTAACCTATTCTATTTTAATATAAATTTGTAATTTATAAAAATAATAATCAAAAATCTCGAAGGGAAAAGTTAAATTTTTGAAATCATCTAAAGAACCTTTCATATACTTTATGATAGTTCGATTGAAAGTAAATGGGGGTAAAGTTATAGGAAAAAGAATCAAAATAGCGGTCAACTCATAAAGCAGGGCATCCTATGAAAAGCATGAAACACGGTCCTCATTTCTCGACGTATTTTTGCCAAGAGACAAATGGCACAAGTAGAAAAGATAGAGGAGAATAATAATGATGGCGCATCGTGGTACCGACCGAGAAAGGAAACAAACAGGGGAGGGAGGAAAGTACGGTCGGCGAGGGGTGGGTAGAGGGGCTTGGGGGAGGTTCAAGGTGCCCGACACAAATGCAAGAGACCTATCCGCCGTTGTCCACTTGTTCCCCTTCAACGTCTAATCCCATTTGCGTTTATTTAGTGAAACTATCAAAGCGTCCCCAGCCTTAATTTGGAGTGGATCTATTTTTAGATCTTTCACTTAAATTGTTTCTAATGAGTTGTTCTATCGTTCCCGTATATGTTCGATATCATCATCATCATCATCATCATCATCATCATCATCACTCGAGGATACTATCACCTGCTCTCTTATTTATCT